GAATGGCGGGGAAGGAGAAGAAGAATTTATTTTAAATATGCCTGATGGGAATGGGATTTGCCACCTAGTAATTTTGTTAGAATGTGTTTCCCTTCAACTATGAACTTAGAGCAGTGAAATATATCTGAGCCCCAGGACCAGTCTGCCTGCATGATGGGTTTCAGGGAGAGCAGCCAGCCCCTCCAATGGCACTTATCCGGGCCCCCCAAGGACAGCGCCTCTCATTTCACTGTCTTTCAGGTGGCTGGAGGCAATGGACAAAGCGGCCCATCCTGTCCGCCAGGTAGGGTTTTTGCTGTTATCTTTGCCTTCATTCTGGTTTCCCCCTCAAAGGGACAAAGGATCAAGTTAGATGCCATGCCGTCCACCCTGGGACCCCTCAGATCTGCTCTAAAGGCTGGGAAAGCGGATTTTAAGTCAACGGGGTTTCCTACTCAGAGCCATGGGGAGCTTGCATTCCTGCTGTTCGTTTTCTTCCCAGGGGTTTGTCTGACATTTCTCCCAGTGAGCTCTGTGGGGAGGCACAAACTGGGGTGGAATTTGTTTCACCTGCAGAGCAGTCCCCTAGCTCCCCGTGAGGTTAAGAACACTGCTGCTGTTTTCTTTTCATTCCCCAAGTACAAGGCGTCAGGGATGGCTTGGGAGAGTGCTGTTGGCTGAGCAGTTTATTAGAAAATGAGTGTCTTGTGTTCAGAATGCAGTGTTTTATGTTCATACCCTTGTTCAGGAGTCATATTAGGCCACTTTTCTCTCACTGTTCTTGCTGGGTTATGATTCCTAACCTTGGAGCAGTATCATTTTAAACTTAGATTTGACCTTTAAACTGGTAGGTAACTTCCTAACACCAACAGGTGAGTCATCACTTTAACCCCTAAGGCATTTGATATTCCTCCTTCTGAGCTCATGCTGGGGGGGGGGCATGAGGGGGGATGTTGCTTTAATACCCAACTGTTTCATTTTTATACTATGTATATGATTTCTAGTGAGGTGATAGATTTCCTTTAAATATGTTCATTTCCTCACAAAAATGACAATCAAGATCTTCTGTACATATTTTGGCTTTTGTATATTTTGGGAAATTTGCATCATTTGAGCTTGGATGTACTGCCCCGGGCCCTGTAACTGTCCTTCCAGAACAATCACTGGCATCATCATATGACAAACCCCAGGACTTGTGTTTCATATCACCTGGAACAACTCTCATTGCACTCATCCGCCTCTTCAATGCGTCATCCCAGAGCCCTCAATGTTTGAAGAGGGCTCTGTTCTGCTAACACAGTGTCTGTAGCAGAGTGAAAAGGGAACCAGCAGATTCCCAGCAGGCTCCCTCTTCACAGCAACAAGTACAGCCAGCCCCACATTCTGAAATCTTTTGCAATGCCTTGTTAAAACTAAAGAGCAAAAATGAAACCATATAAAGAAACTGGCCGGAGGCCAGGCAGGGCATTCTGATAAAGAGATGAAGCTCTGTGTCCTATGCCTCAGGTCAAGTTCCCAGGAAGAACCTGCCTCCAGGGCCTCTCCGGCCTGTGGACCGAGGGCTGCCCTCCAGGGTAGAGGATCTTGATTAATCTCGGGCCTGCCACATCACTGACCCTGAGAGCCTAAGGCCTGATCTGGCCTGGAGCATTCACCATATTCCGTTTCGAAAATTGAAGTTCTAAATAAAGTAAAGCCTGAACCAGGGGCTGTTATTAGTCACAGTGGACCTACCAGAAACAGGGCCAGGAAAACAATCCCAATAGTATGAAACAGCAAATTGAGACCAACCGTTGTAGACAGCACCATTCGAAATAGCCTTTGCTCAGGTGCCATTTCCAGTTCCTTTCTATACATCACTGGTGTTCTTTTGATTTCTGCACAATAGAATAGCAGCCAAAGAGAAAGGATGTCTATGGACATGAAAAGGGAGAAATTCTCTATGGCCAATGGGTAAATCCAGGTTTTCTGGCTAGTTGCTCAAGTATTCAGATTGCCTTAGCAATAGAATCAGTTAGGACAGTGGCTTCTCTGAAGTCAAACAGCCTGGGTGCTGATGTCTCCAGCTCGGGGAATCTATGACCACTGGCGCAGGATGATCGCTCAGGTGATCCCTTTGTGCCGCACCTACAGAACCATGTCTGGGAAGACGTTACTCTGCACAACAGTAGCCTCCCACCCCTGGCCATCAAGAACCCAGAGTGCCTGGGCCTTCTGCACCAACTGGACAGAAGCACAGACGTGTGGGTCCGGCACTATTGCATTCTGAAGGACGGCTGCTTGTACTGCTATGCTAGCATCCGCTCCACCCAGGCCTCAGGTATGGACTCAACTTTCACATGAAATAATAGCAATTATAGTAATAGCAGTAATGACATCTTAGCTTTTACGGAGCCCTTACCAAGTCTTGTGCTATGTAATTTACCTAAATTATCTCATTTATCCTCTAAAGAAGAGGTACTATTATACTTTCCATTTTCCAGAGAAGAAAACTGGCTGGAAAGTTTACACAAATTGACAAGATTACATGTAGTAAGCAATGAAGCTGAGCTCTGCACTCAGCCAAACTAACTCCAGGGCCTGTACCCCTAACTCCAGGGCCTGTACCCCTAACTCCATGCTTTTACTGCCTGGAAAAGTGAAAAATAAACTCCTTCATTCTTTTGCTCACTAATGACATTCAGAGTCAATGCCAATAGTTTTCTCGCGTAGTGACTCCACCCTTTTCTCACAGAATCCCTAATCTTAGATAAGTGAGTAAAAAAAGAATATTAACTGTCTATTTTCCCAGGGCAAGTTCCTTAACTTCCTAACCTTACTTTCCTCATTTACAAAATGGAAACAGCTATCTATTTCACAGGACTAATGTTAAGATCAAATGAGATAATTGCCAATAGAATGACGTAAGCTCTACATATAAAGCTCTCTACATAAAAAGCTCTCTGTGTATTATATATACATATATAGATATATTTTTATTATATTTATTAGATTGTATATATTAAAAACTATACATATGAAACAAGTATAGAAACAATATAATTTAATAATAAAATAATTGTGCCTGATTTCTACAAGAAAGATTACTTAGCTTTCTTATAATTTTTGACAAAAGAGATTATTGGTGTTTTATTTGCAACTGCGTTTTTTCCAAAATGAAAAATCCTTAAATAACTTGCAGTAGTGAACATTCTGCTACCTCAGTCATTTCATTTTGTTTTTTAGCACTAATGCTTAAGTTAATTAAGCTAGAAAATCATGCCAAATTGGAAATGGGTATCTTGTGACAATTTTCGCCCTTCTTGGAAGGGTATATATGAAAGAGGTACAAAGCAAGTATGGTCCATTTCTTACCACTCAGGAGGAACAATACAATGATTCTCTTCCACCTAATCACCCTTCCGTTCTGAAAGTTAAAACATGACCCAGAATATCATTCAACTATTAAGAGATAGAGGGCATCTCTAAGCGCTTATAGGACAGGCTGTTCCTGTTCAACTCCAGATCCACAGCTTCAAGCACCTGATACCGGATGGGAATGAAGTAAACAAAACAAACCTCCAAAGCGGTCACTGCCTGGGACTTCTGTTATAAATTATCATTACAAAAGAATGAACATTTTAATTACCAAATCAATGAAGCTCATTTTCAAGAGACTGTTTCCGTAGCTAGAGAAGAAATGTTTAGGACTGAATGCTCAGATTATTCCAAACTGAAATATTAACAAAGTACTGCCAAACCCCTGGGGCGACAGGCAGCTGCTGATTCCAAAAGTTTAAAATAACTAATGACAGTCACTAGATGGCTTCCCTTAACCTGAAAGGTCAGAGGAGGCCTTACTTAGAAAGTCCTAGTTTGAAAACTGGGAAAGAGCTACTAATAAATGGCCACGGTCAAGGTTGTGGGTTCAATCCCCAGTCAGACCACATACAAGAATCAACCAATGAGTGCATCAATAAGTGGAACAACAAATTGATGTCTCTCTCTCTCTCAAATCAATAATTTTTTTAAAAAGTTTCAGTAGTATCAGCAGAAGCAATGTTATCATTCATTGAGTGCATCTTTTGCACTGGTCACTCTGTTAAGTGCTTTTACTATCATTCCATTTAATTACTACAATTCTACAAGATAGGTTATTATCCCAACTACACATTTGGAAACTGATGCTTAGCAAAAGAGTAGGTCATTTGCCCACATTCCCCTGACTAGTAAATGGTGAAAGCAGAATTTAAACCCAGATAGCTTAAGTTATACCAACAAAAAGAAAAAATAGACAAGTAGGAAAATTTGGAAGGTTTGATTATATTCAGCTCTTATCATTTCACCCATCCCTCCAGAATCTTTGATGGGATTTTTGTTGCCTCTAGAGCACTCTGGGGCCTTATACTTTCCTCCAAAACCCTTCTTTCTGGTTGTCTCTTCTGGTCCTTGTGTTAAAACACCTTGCACCCTGCCCAAACATGGTCACATTCTATTTCCTTAAACATACCCTTGAACAATTTTCTGACTCATCTCTTTGCTTGTGCTAGTTCCTTCCCCTGAAACATTCTCTACCTACTGATTCCCCAACACAAGTTGTCCAGATTCTACCTGTCTTCCAAGTGCTTATTCAAATGCTAGCCATCTCTGCTATAAAGCAAGCAGATGGTCCTAGATAAACAAGCCTCTCCCTTTTCTGAACTTGCACATTTACCTATCTTATGACACTTATCACCCTCTACTTTGTATTTTTATCTCTATTTAGCAATCCAATCTCTTCTAAGGGATTAAATGCTCAGAGATATAATGTATGCTTAATGAATGAATGAACCATATTACCTCAATTGGCCATTATTCCCATGAAATGAGAGAATTTGTCATTCCCTCATTTGATAGTGAAGGATTAGAAAATTGAAAAGCCAATTCAAAGGTAAAACCAGAACTCAGGCCACCAGATAGACGCCTGGCCTTCCTGCCATATCACACTCTTTCTAGCTATCACAAGTTATTTAATTTCTATCAATTTTTGATTCCTTTCTTGAAAATGTATTGTCTGATGTTTAAAAAAATATTAATCCAAAGCCACTCATTCTTTCCCAGCCTTAAGTCTTGAATATTCCTATCTCCACAGGTCTGAATTTCTAGCCCAAATTATCTCAAATATGGATTAAAAGAACATTTTCCTTACTGAAATTCCAACAGAAACTGTATATGTAGGCCATGTTCTAAAATAGAAGCCTGTGACTTTTAGTTTTACATGACTCTACCCTTCCTTGAATAAAAAATGCCACCTGCCTGAGCACACACCTTAGTCCACCCCCTCCCCACTCCTGCCCTGACAGCTGCTGGGGCCTCCCGCAAGCAGTCCCAGGGTTAATCAGTGGCCGACTCTTCTTCAGCATTGGGGGGGG